GTGAAATTTGCCCTGAGCATGACAGAAAGCCACTGGAGGGTTCTGAACAGAGGTGTGGCAGAGTCTGATTTTGGTTTCAAGGGATGGCTCTGGCTGAGTGAGGGAAGAGAGGAGGCCGCTGCCATGATCTCAGCAGAGACGATGGTGGCTTGGACCAGGGGCAGCGCCGGGGGTGGGGGAGCGAGAAGTGGTGGCTCTGAGCACATTGAAGGCAGGGCTTACAGAACTCACTGATGGATCGGATGCGGGCTGTGAACAGGAGGTCGATCCCAAAGACTGTGGCCCAAGCACATGAAAAGCAGGGCTTGCCTTTCCTGAAAGGGGGACACTGAGGAAGAAGGAGGTGGGGGAGGCACATCAGAGTTTGCTACTGAACGTGCCAAGTTTGCGATGCCGACTGGATTCCAGTAAACGCAAAGCACACCTGGATGCCCAGGTGTGCTTTGCGGAGCCGGAGGTCAGGGAGCCTGGAGCCGGAGGTCAGGGAGGCCGCACGCTGGGGACATTTGGTGTTGATGGTGTTCACTGCCAGAAGATGGGGTAAGCTCACCTAGGGAACGAGAGCACCTCCATGGCACCCTGGGGACGCCCTATGTTCCAAGGCCAGGGTGACAAGAGTCCAGGGAGGGAGACAGAGCAGGAGTGAGGCAGGGAGAGCCTTGGGTATGGTGCCCTGAAAAAGCCACACGCAGAAAGCGTCTCAAGAAGAGAGCGGCACCTGCCCGACACTGCTGGCGACCACACCAGACAGGTTTGGGGCCTGCGATGGGACTCGCAGGTCGCTGCCAGCCTTGGCAAGAGCCTTGTGGATGGACTGATGAGCACAGAGGAGCGTGGGGGCAGCGGAACCGGACGCTTCAGGGTGAGGCAAGGCTTTGGAGGAGTTTGTACAGAGTGCAGCGGGGAAAACGGAAGATGCGGTAGAGACACTCTTGAGCAGAAGAGAGTGGGTGGCGTCTGGGGACGACAGAGGCCTGTGCGGGTTTCTTGTTCTGCTCTGGTCACTCCAGCTAACAGTGGCACCTCCCTCGTCCTGATTCCCTCCACTCCAGTGACTCCCTTGGGGTTTATGCAGTCATTAAATTCCAAGCCTTTCCTGTGTCACTGACATCTTCAGTGGCTCAGTCCTACCTAGCTGTGTGACCTGGGATGAGTCACTTAACCTCAAGAGAAGCAGCACAGCAGTGAATCGGGGGCCTCGGTACCCCCAGCAGCAGCGTCGTGGCTGTGGGGCCTGGGGTGTTCTCTGATGGCAGTGGGAATCCAAGCTCCCCTTTGACCTCAGATTCATGGAGAACCCAGAACTGGTTGTTAGAAAATCCTCTTCAGAGCAAATAAGTGTCTTTAATATCAATTCTTCAGGCAGCAAACGTTTGCTGGGTGCCTGCTCTGGCCAGGGGCATGGGAGAGGTTCTGCAGGGGTGGACGCCCCTCGGGGTACCTTGTGGGGTCGTGGGCGTGTCTATTCAAAACCCTAACAGGGCAGACTCTCCGCTGCATCACCGTGTGTCCATCTTTAGGAGCAGTTACTACAGTTGCACCCACAAATCCAATTTCTGAGAGGTGGAATTTTTTCAGTCTTGCTCTGCCTGTGCCTGACACACGATGCCCGTTTGCTGGATGAGTGCGGTGACGTATGGTGCCATTACCTTTGTGTTGGAAGGAAGGGTAGGACTGGGACCTGCGCAGATGGGGAAGGAGGTGTTACAGCCTGGGCGGGCGGGGAGGGGAGGGCAGGAGCGAATGTAGGAGACAGTGAGGCCCAGGCGAGGCCCAGGCCAGCTGTGATGGGGCCGTGTGATGTGGTCTGGCTACAACAAGGCTAGAAAGGAGAGTTGGGGCTGGATGTGGAGAATGTTGAATTCCACCTATGTGAAAGGCATTGGATTTATCTATACTAGGATGACCTCATGTTCCAGTTTCCTAGAGTGGCTTTGCCCGCTGTCCCAGTGTGATTACTAATAGTTCCCCCCTCCATGCTCAAGTATCCCTGTTTGGATGATGCGTTATATGGTCTTGCAATCCTAAAGGCCACATAGAGCCCTGAAGGTTTCACAGACGGACAGAGTCAGGCTGGCCTCGGATAGGTCAGTGCCCGCTGTGCCTGGTGGAGCCTGGAGGCAGAGATGAGACGTCCTCCCATCCAGGCAAGTCAAGCTGAGGTCCTTTGTTAATGGTAAATCCCAACAGCGGCCAGCGCACAACAAACAGGCACTATTTGAGGAGAGCAAATTGTCCCAGCCCCTTTGGAAATCAGTTAAGCAGCACACATCAAGAACCTTGAAAAATGTCTATTCCCTTTAGCCCATTAATTCTACATTTGGAAATCTCTCCTAAGGAATAATTCCAAATACAAAAAAAGTTCTCGGCACAGATGTTCATCAGAGAACTATATGCAGCAGGCCTAGGAACAGCTCATTGTGCCACAGTAGATGATGATTAAAGACAGGGTATCTCCATCAGTGGACTAAATTCCACAGAACAGGGACAATGTCTGTGCTATTTACCTTCGTATCCCCAACAGCTAACATGGTGTCTGACATATTTGTTTAATGAATAAATGAGTGAATGAAAATTCTTAAAAGATATAAAATAAAAATATTTTATATATCCAAGTACCCACAGAAACACAGTATGAACTCAATTGTTTTTCAAAAAAGCAGACTTATGCATATATAATTATGCATATAAAAACTAAAAAAAATGACCCCCCCAAAATGTAAACGGTAATTATCTTTGAGTGGTAAAACTACCAATGATTTCCTTTCTTTTCCTTCATTTTATTTTCGTACATATTGCCTATTTTCAAGAATGAATATTATTACTTTTATAATGGGAAAAAACAAGTCAACACTCTTTAGAAAGGAAGGACTAGCCTTAGGCAGGATTTAGGCCCAGATGAGAGGGTGTGACAAGGTTTTACAGCCTCCGACGGTTCCCGGTCAGTCTTTGCAGGGAGTCTCCCATTCCGGCCGGGGTGCCTCTCTGCAAGGGCGGTTCCTCCCACACAGCTGGCGGAGGGCCCAGAGACACACTGAGAGGTGCTGGCTTTCACTGGAGCCATTTCTAAACTCCCAGGTAGCTATCAAAAGTGACACCCAGCAACATGGAAAACTTAATGGTACAGTTTTAAGTGAAATGGAGCAGCATACAAAATTGCATTGACTATGAATGTAGCTATGCGAACTATGCACTGGGCAAACATTTATGAAGAAATGAAAAGACTTCACAAGAAATATGACCACATGCAGCCAGAGATGAGACAACCAACCAAAATGAATGTACCTTTTCAGCAACAACAATTTTAAAGTCATGTCTCCAGAACTCAGATTCCTAAAGCTCTACTCTAGACCCCCGAGTCTAGAGTGTCTACAGTTGCTTACCTAGTGACTCTAGGCTCCAGGGCAATTTGTTTCTTAGAGAAGAGCTTCTCAAATTTTAATGTGTGTACAATTAACCTGGAGATCTTTTTTTTTTTTTTTTTTTTAGAAACATTCTAAATTTGTTAACACGAATAAAGTATTTCCTGGTTAGCTTTTAAAAAACCACACTAACTAAATGGGCTGAGAGCTTGCTGATTCCAGGAGAGTACTGCTAATCAAATGTAGTGTCTTTATTTAATTTTTATATATCTATATCTCACATGATCATACAACAGATTTGGAGAATGT